ATTTTTAATTACACTAGCTTACCCTTTTGTTGTCTCCATGATATTGGACTGCGATGATCATACTATGTATGGGAGCAGAGCAGGGATAGGTGGGCGTCTAAGGATGAGTCTTCGGCGGACCAGTAGAGCTGATCGTTTTGGTGACTATTTTGTTATGTAGCTACTTAGGATAGTAGCATTGATTGGACTTTGTGTTGTACTTATTCCTAGAAAGGACCAAAAAAAAAATATTTTCTTTTTGCATTGCATTTTAAAAATTCTTGAAACTTAACTAGTTTTCTTAACATTTTCTCTTGTTTTTAAGCTTTTAAATTCAACGTGTTTAATTGTCAAGTTTGTTATATGCTTGCTTGTGGACATTTAAGGGAAACAATTTCTAACTATCCCTGCTCTGCTCCCATACATAGTATGATCATCGCAGTCCAATATCATGGAGACAACAAAAGGGTAAGCTAGTGTAATTAAAAATTCAACATACAAATATATATATATCAACATAAATAAACAACAGATACAATTATCAACATACTTATACAGCTTATACCACTCAACAATATCAGTACCGCAATGCGGCAATATCAGCACTGCCTTAGCGGTTAGAATATCCCCCAACTCAGCACAGTCCAGCACAGCACAAACACAACACTTCAACACATCAATCAACTTAACAAAATTCATTTAAAGTACTACATTATTTAGCCATAACAGCACACATCTTCAGCATACACCTCATCAATCTTACAGCATAATTAGCAATCAGCACACAATGCGTCGTCACGCATATCAACTCGGAGATCTCCTACAGCAACTCAGCCATTATGGCCTACAACAACTCAGCCATTATGGCCTACAGCAATTCATATCAGCATTCAACACAACACAACTTTTGCAACTCAACATATCAACTTGCAACACAACACAACTGGACAACTCAACATCAACTTTCAACACAACTCAACTGTTAGTCATCACATTATATTCGTCTACAACTCAACTAAGCATAAAACAACATTAACCAACATATATAAATTTCTCATCTCCGCGCCCGGCGCACTCATGGTCGCGCCCAGCGCGGTACAACCAGAGAGCACCAGGGGCTAGCGCGCCCAGCGCAGGTATGCCTGCGCCTGGCGGGACTCAGCCAGAGAGCCCAAGGCTCACACGCGCCCAGCGCATGCCAGGCAGAGACTCCCAGGAGTCTCGCGCGCCCGGCGTGCCCATACCCGTGCCTAGCGCGGGGAAGGCAGAGACCTCCCCTTGGTCTCGCGCCCAGCGCAATTCAAATTGCGCCCAGCGCCCACAGGGCAGAGACTCCCAAGGAGTCTCACGCCCAGCGCGACAAGGGCCGCGCTCAGCGCAACGCATCAATATCAGCATATACATATATATCCATTACAGCGTGGCATTTCATCATCAACAACATAAAATAGCATGATCAACAATTTCACAACGTACGACATGTTCAACACATACTCCGACCCAATCCTCTTATTTACAACTCATCTATCTTGTCAAATTACCCACCCAAACAACACCAATCAACCTAAGCACCTAAAACAACTTTAAACTTAACCAAATCACTAAATG